AAGGACATGCACATGACCTTTCTCAGCCGCAAACTCGATCGCGTTGGTCGAGACACCTTCCGTACGGTGCGTATGGAGCCACTCGAGCATTGGGAGGTTGCCGCGCTTGGCCGCACCGTCCATGGCCGCGGTCGTGGCGCCCACATCGTGGTGCGTGTGGAGCCACTCGACCACGTCAAAATGTCCGTTCTTGGCGGCGAGGTCCATGGCCGCAGTCGTTGCGCCTTCGTCGCGGTGCCGCAACAGCCATTGCACAATGGGTAGAAAGCCGTTCTCGGCCGCAAAGTCGACCGCGTCTTCCGTGCATCCTTCGGTCCGATTCGCATGGAGCCACTGGAGAACGTGCAAATGCCCGCAGTTGGCGGCCCAGTTCATGGCGTCCGTCGAGCAGCTCTCGTACCCATGGGTATGCAGCCACTGAAGCATCTCGAGGTGGCCACCTTCAGCCGCATAATCCATCGCATGGCTGCACTCACCGAGCCCATGCGCATGCAGCCATTTGGCCACACTCAAGTTGCCGCCCTTGGCCGCCGCGTCCATGAGGCAGCGCGGCACATCGGCGTCGGCGGCGAACGTCGTCGGAAGGCTCTCCAGAATCGACACATGGCCCTGCTCGGCGGCCTCGTGGTACGTCACGGCGGGAAGCAGCATGTCGGGGTACTGCGCGCGGAGAAAGTTCAATATGTCGAGGCGGCCGCTCGTGGCAGCGTTCGAAAAGGCGTCGGCGCTGCAACCGTCGACGCGGTGCGCATGTAGCCACACGATGACGTCCATGTGCCCACCGAGGGCGGCGCCATCAATCGCGGCCGGCGACCCCGTGAGCGTGTGGAGTGGACTGGCGTGGAGCCACTGAACGAGCGCAAGGTGGCCATTTGCTGCGGCGATATCCAGCGCATTCGTGTCGCGGAACGCCAGGCGAGGCGCGTACTGGACGACGAGAAGGTACCCTCGCTGGACCGCGCGGTCGCCGTCTTCCCAGTCGGCGAGGCGCTGACCGGGTGCGTAGCGCAAGACTTCGCCGAGGAGCGATGGGCTCAAGAGGACTTGCGCGGTGACCGGGCCGAGCGTCGGCTTGGCGTGCTTGGCAACGGGCTCGGCCATTGTTCGCGTTCAAGATCTCGGCGCTGTGCCATATAACCGGATTCTCCGGATACCGCCGTTGCCGAAATTCGAAATTCCAAAGCGGTCTACATCGACTTGATACGTTGAAGGAGCTCATCAAAAGATCCATGTAGAAGATCCATGTAGCAGCTCCTCCTGAAGCCGCTCCAAAGTGTGGACTTGTGAGGTACATGGTGCTGCGTACGAGCTTGGTGGCGTGAAGTTAGACAATGTATGTAAAGTCGCTTCTGGCCGATTTGGACGAATCAGTCGGGTCGTTAAAGCTGTACGTGGGAATTTTTCAGTCTGAAAATTTTTCCAGCAAAAACAGCAAATCTTGCGATCTGAAAATTTCAGATCGCCAGATTCCCAAACTCTTTGGTGCCAGAAACGCGTTGGTTCAAGTTGAAGAGACATAGACATGTCGCTCCATTCTCGCTAGTTCAGTTGATAGTCCACAATGCAATCTCATATATTGATTCAGTGGCAACATGCGTGGTCCGGAGCACTCGGAGCAAATGCGCCGCGCTGTTATTTCCAAGGCCGCCGACGGCAAGACCCAGCGCCAGATATCCAAGGAGCTCGAGATCCCTGCCTCGTCGGTGGGCAACATCATTCGCCATTTCAAGGCCTGGCATACGCTGGCACCTGCGCCACGCTCTGGGCGGCCTCGCAAAACCAGCCTTCGCACCGACCGCGTGCTTACGCGCAATGTCCTTAACCGCCAAGAGAGCGCTCTCGAGTTGCGCCGTGAGCTCGAGGAAACTACCGGAATTCGCTTGTCCGCTAGCACGATCTGTCGTCGCATGCACGCCGTCGGCCTCCATTACGGCAAGAAACCCACCCGACTAAACTCGGGCAAGTCGAAGAAGATTTGACCGACGTGATGAACAAGGTGCCAATATGCTCGACTAATAGTTTGTAGTACTTGCGAAGAGGCCCTGTACTTCCACATGTCGAGTACCTATACTAGTATGTGCGAATGGATGTGGGCTATTAGCCCATCATTGTCTTTGTTATAGCGAGCACATCACAGCACGGACAGCAGATATATTGATTGCATGGGTAGCATACTCATCCGTTCGTGGAGTCTACGTAGCTTATAGAAAAAAGAGCTAGGCCATGGCCGCCATGACACAGTCAACGGACGTCTTTGTCGTATCGTCGACGGTCTCGGTCTTGACAGCAGCAGGAACCCAAGGTCCTTCTGTGCAGTCGCTGACGACGATGCGCATCTCGTGCAAGACGCGCCCCATCGTCGTCTTGGCCGCGTCGATGCGGCAGACCCGCGCGTGGATTTCGCGGCAGAGAGAGCGGTGGCGCACCGTCGACCGGAGCTGGTCCAGCACGGCCGTGAACCGGCGGTGTTGGACGCGTGCGCGGAGCCGAGGAGCGAGCACAGGCCACGCGACGCGACGGAAGCGATGGACCTTGAGGTGCCAAACGACATCGAGGAACCGGCTGCGCCACACGAGGTGCCGGCAGTACTCGACGACCCGCTTCAGGACGCGCGCCCCGCGGGGCAGGCGGAGCACCGCCTGCAAGCGAGCGTTGCGGCTGCGCTCCTCGGCGACAAAGACTTGCTCCTG